GTTTATAACATTCCAGTTTGCTGCTATTGTGTACATTATCAGAACATGTCTGCCTCCAACAATGTACCATTCTCTGTGTTACGATAGAGAGGACACAGGGTTGATTGTCCACACTTTGCTCTGTCCAAGCCAAACGAAAGCAACAATGTGTCATACATGTGACCCATGTCGTTCTGCTGGATTCATCTCACTGGTATAACATTAGATAACAGGGTATATTGGTATCTACAACTGGGTACATATAACATTTTCAACCAGTATTATATCACATTAAACATGTAGGTAATATTGATGGGATGTCCACCCAGTTCACCTTAAACAGCTGCATTGTTTCTTCTTGGGTTGACAGACAATAATTGATAAGGGAACTTAATGTGTACACTTTCAAATCATCCATTACAAATGGCTGGCACCATCAATCTGTCAAACAAACACAGATAATCTTTATATATTAATGCTCATAGTATATACACATTTGAGAAAAATAAGTCATAGTGTTTTCAGCTTGTGGGGTTAAAGCATTTCTAGCCAAACCTCATGATAGCTTTGGGTGAAAAATATTCCCAAGTACTTGTATGCGGATACAATTTCAAGTTTTCAACTTTTTTCTGTTTGTTTGACTACTTGTCTGCGAAATACAATAATCTTTGTCTTGTCTAAATTTACATTCATACCATAATTTTCTAAAAAAGCTTGCTACACAGTCAATCTGACATTATCTGATTGTATTAGTTTAACAAGATCGTGAAAGAACAAAGTAAAAAGTATGGGCCTAATTATACAACCTTGCCTTGTACCCACTGTACAATAAAAGTATAATAATGTCGGATAATGTCAATCGGTCCACTTGTACATATACTTTTAGTTGACTGTACAGTAAACTACGGTTATAACGAACTCAAATTGACCACTAAGTTTAGTTCGTTATAACCGTAGTTCGTTTTAAGCATATATACAGCATCTATACAGCAAAAGGCCGGGACCGAAAAAAATAAGTTCGTAATATCCGTCAGTTCGTTTTAAGCGTACAAGGGTGAAAAGCCCCAAATACTTGCCATGTGTTTTGAAGAACTAGACAGTTTAATAGGTGATGATGTACACTTTCAAAAGCCTTAGAAACATCGATGAACAAACAACAAACAATGAACAAACTTTTGATTTTGCCAAATACATTCGAACTGAGGATTGAATTCTTGAAATATTATCTGTGGTATTTTTACCTTTTCTATACCCAGCCTGCTTTTCATATAGCTTGTTTTCTACATCACAGTAATGACTGATTCTGTTTCACACTTTGGTGAATGTGTATCAAGGAACTGATATCAGTGAGTTGACTCTGGAGTTATGTGGTACAGTCTTACATGATTTACTATGGAGTGGAAAGATGATAGATTCTGCCCATGCCAAAGGAAACACCCTCAGGGAGAATGTAGGCAAAACACTAATTGTCTTGGCTGTAAACACACCTTCACTCTCCTTGACAATAAAACATACTCTATCTAATAAATATTCATATATACTTTCTGCTATATTTAAATGGATTTTCCTTTCTGCACATGTCCAGCAGAAACTGGACCGATGCCATCATAATTAATTGAAACACCACAATGCCAGTAACCAGGTACTATACCTGAAAACTCACTTTGTGATCAGGTAAAACCCTAAAATCAAATAATATCAAAGTTTTTAAATAGGCATGAAAATTCAGTATTTATAAGTTTTTCTGATCCTACAAACGTTCCAATATAATATGTACGGTTTAGTCGTGAGGCCTTAACACAGAATAAACATGCATGCTTAAAGATAAGCTAGACGTACCTGGGAATCTCTCCTTCCCAGGAATCAACACTGAATAAAATCTTTTGTTAAATATTCAATCTAAGTGGGAATACTTTAAACATTTTATGTCAGGATCTTCATGGCGGAGAAAAGCTTGGGTTGAAGACCAATTCTAACGTGGATCTTCATGGCGGAGAAAAGCATGGGTTAAAGACCAATTCTAACCAGGATCGTCACGAGGGAGACAGCATGGGTTGTTGCAGATCAATTCAAACACGGATCTTTATGGGAGAGACAAGCATGGGTTGTTGAAGACCAATTGTAACCCGGATCTTCGCGGGTCCTGTTCACAACTGGAAGTTGAAGTTATTGCATTATATTTGTTCCAGTCTTTATTCAGTATTCAAGCTACAGCCCAGAGAACATGTTTGTAATTTAATATTTGATATAATCTACAATGTACAAACACATATACATACATATATGCTCATTTATGTGTGTAACACTCTAACATGCTTGTTGTAGCTGTAGAATGCTGTAGAATGTTGTTTAACGCCGCACTCAGCAATATTCCAGCTATATGACGGCGGTCTGTAAATAGTCGGATCTGGACCAGACAATCCAGTGGTTAATATCATGAGTATCGATCTACGCAATTGGGACCGATGACATGTATCAACCAAGTCAGCGAGTCTGACCACCCGATCCCGTTAGTCGCCTTTAACGACAAGCATAGTCGCCTTTTATGGCAAGCATGGGTTGCTGAAGACCTATTTTACCCCGGATCTTCACGGGTCACATGCTTGTTGTATAAAAGTACATAACATGAATGATAAAATAACATACGGTATAAACACTTAATGCATGAATTACCTCCCTTGTCAACATGATAATTGTTTCTGATCTGTGTACACTTTATGTGACCTATATTTTCTCTGACGCCAATGCGGATTTAAAAAGTTTATAACATTCCAGTTTGCTGCTATTGTGTACATTATCAGAACATGTCTGCCTCCAACAATGTACCATTCTCTGTGTTACGATAGAGAGGACACAGAGTTGATTGCCCACACTTTGCTCTGTCCAAGCCAAACGAAAGCAACAATGTGTCACACATGTGACCCATGTCGTTCTGCTGGATTCATCTCACTGGTATAACATTAGATAACAGGGTATATTGGTATCTACAACTTGGTATATATAACATATTCAACCAGTATTATATCACATTAAACATGTAGGTAATATTGATGGGATGTCCACCCAGTTCACCTTAAACAGCTGCATTGTTTCGTCTTGGGTTGACAGACAATAATTGTTAAGGGAACTTAATGTGTACACTTTCAAATCATCCATTACAAATGGCTGGCACCATCAATCTGTCAAACAAACACAGATAATCTTTATATATTAATGCTCATAGTATATACACATTTGAGAAAAATAAGTCATAGTGTTTTCAGCTTGTGGGGTTAAAGCATTTCTAGCCAAACCTCATGATAGCTTTGGGTGAAAAATATTCCCAAGTACTTGTATGCGGATACAATTTCAAGTTTTCAACTTTTTTCTGTTTGTTTGACTACTTCTCTGCGAAATACAATAATCTTTGTCTTTACATTCATACCATAATTTTCTCAAAATCTTGCTACACAGTCAATCTGACATTATCTGATTGTATTAGGTTAACAAGATCGTGAAAGAACAAAGTAAAAAGTATGGGCCTGATTATACAACCTTGCCTTGTACCCACTGTACAATAAAAGTATAATAATGTCGGATAATGTCAATCGGTCCACTTGTACATATACTTTTAGTTGACTGTACAGTAAACTACGGTTATAACGAACTCAAATTGACCACTAAGTTTAGTTCGTTATAACCGTAGTTCGTTTTAAGCATATATACAGCATCTATACAGCAAATGGCCGGGACCGAAAAAAATAAGTTTGTAATATGTGGTACAGTCTTACATGATTTCCTATGGAGTGGAAAGATGATAGATTCTGCCCATGCCAAAGGAAACACCCTCAGGGAGAATGTAGGCAAAACACTAATTGTCTTGGCTGTAAACACACCTTCACTCTCCTTGACAATAAAACATACTCTATCTAACAAATATTCATATATACTTTCTGCTATATTTGAAATGGATTTTCCTTTCTGCACAAGTCCAGCAGAAACTTGACCGATGCCATCATAATCAATTGAAACACCACAATGCCAGTAACCAGGTACCATACCTGAAAACTCACTTTGTGATCAGGTAAAACCATAAAATCCAATAAAATCAAAGTTTTTAAATAGGCATGAAAATTCAGTATTTATAAGTTTTTCTGATCCTACAAACGTTCCAATATAATATGTACGGTTTAGTCATGATGCCTTAACACAGAATAAACATGCATGCTTAAAGATAAGCTAGACGTACCTGGGAATCTCTCCTTCCCAGGAATCAACACTGAATAAAACCTTTTGTTAAATATTCAATCTAAGTGGGAATACTTTAAATATTTCATGTCAGGTTTAGTCTAATAAGAAAGAGAGGGAGAGGGAGAGAGAGAGAGAGGGGGGGGGGGGGGGGGGGAGAGAGAGAGGGGAGGGAGAGAGGGGGGGAGATGGTGAGGGAGATTGAGAAGGAGAGGGAGAGAGGGAGGGAGAGGGAGAGAGGGGGGAGGGAGATTGAGGAGAGACACACAGAGAGAGGGAGTTAGGGAGAGGGAGAGAGAGAGAGGGGGAGGGACGGAGAGGGATAGGGAGATAGAGAGAAGGGAAGAAAGAGAGAAGGGGAAGAAAGAGAGAAGGGGAAGAAAGAGAGAAGGAGAGAGAGAGAGAAAGAAGGAGGAATGAGTTATATCATGCACAATATAAATGTTTCACGAGAATAAAATCCATTCTGTACAATACACAACATCAGGTAGTTGGGTTCACGTACACACAGAGTTAGGCTAAACATTATATTCTATACACAACGCACCATAGAAGAGTTGCCACATACAACTGATATATTGTCATGTACAATACGACATATGAAATTAGTGTTGAAACACCAAGAAACTCAATTTACATATGCAAATAGCAACGTCTGTCTGTAATATGTGCCTGGCTATGTATTTTGCAATATGTTCATCAAATAAAAATAACAGGGGCATGAGTGACTGGTGACCAAGTCGTCACTCGTTCACCATTAAGGACTAGGCCTCATTTTAAATATCAAAAATAACTGTACAGTAAAAGAGTTATATTATTTGAACAGAGGTGCATCCAAGATTTGAAAAATAATAACGCACCTCGAATCTGCAATGAACGGCTCTGACCTCGTGTTTGTCCCATGTTTGTTTCCATCACCAAAGGCCCAATGATACAGCTGCTATTTTAACCTCAGTATAAATACATGTACATGTATATGTGACAAAATCCTTTCCATAATAATAAGAATCGCTGCCAAAAGCAGACTCCTTGGTAGTGTCCAACTATATGATAAGCACATATTTATGAATCACTGACAAATGGTGATGTTACCAGGTGTTTGGAAACAACACAACAAGGGACGGTGGGTAGTGGTTCTGGTATTCGTCCGTCATTCTTTAGGCCCTGGCTAACGTCATCACATGGTTAAAGGTTTCAGTGGGGTGAAGTTCTTTCTGGTGTCCCCAATCTTGACATTGCTGACATAGTTATCATCAGATTCTCTCACGCCACACTTTCATCCTCGTTATTGTTTGACATGGCACCGTGACTCTCGAGGACGCCAATGACTGTCTCGTCAGTGAGGTGCTTTGCTATGTCAAGTGGTGTCCTCCCACACCATCCACAACTATTGATGTCAACTACATTGCATGAAACAATGTACCTCACAATCTCTGCATTGCCTCCAATACAAGCCACATGAAGTATCGTCTCACCATAACCATCCTTGACTGCGAGGTCGCAACCTCCTCTCACAAGCAAGTCAAAGATGTTGCTGTGTCCATTCTGGGCTGCCAACATCACCGGTGTCCTCCCAAGGTGATCGCTGCTGTCAATGCTCACTATTTGATGTGACACAACGTACTCTATGATGTCTAAATGACCTCCTACACATGCCATATGGAGGATGTTTCCACCGCTATCACATTGTACATTCAGATCACATTTGTTCCTAACAAGACAGTCGAATACACTCTTTTGTCCCTTCTCTGCTGCCCACATTACTGGTGTTCTCTGAAGTGTGTTTCTACTATTGATATTCACAATGTTATGTGAAACAATGTACTCTATGATGTCTGCATTGCCACCATAACATGCCTTATGAAGGATAGTGTCACATTTATCATCTGAGACAGTAGGGTCACACCCTTTGTGTATAAGGAGGTCGAATACCCTTTTGTGTCCCATCTCAGCTGCCAACAAAACTGGGGTCTTCCTATTTTGCCCTCGACAGTTGATATCAAGTATATCCTGACCAATGATATCCTCTACAATCTCAACATGTCCTTCACGGCATGCCATATGAAGAATGTTGTCACCCAACACGTCCTCTAGTGTCATATCGCAATTTATACTAACAAGATGGTCAAACAAGTTCCTGTGTCCCATTTCCACTGTCAACATCACTGGAGTCCGCGCCAGCTCATCTCTACTGTTGATGTCTATTTTATTGTCTGAGAGAAGGTATTCTACAATCTCTATACTGCCACCTGAGCAAGCCATGTGGAGGATGTTGTTACGAGTGATGGTCTCTTCTGTCAAGTCAACCCCGTTTTCCACAAGGACCTCAAATGTTCTCCTGTGGCCCTTCTTTGCTGCTAATGTGACCGGGGTTTCGAAATTGTGCCCTCTGCTGTTTATGCTTACTTTATTTTGAAGGACGATGCTTCTTACAATATCGGCATTGCCTCCAATGCAAGCATATTGAAGGACATTGTTTTTGTCAACATCCATGTCAGATATATTCCACCATGTAAGCAAACGATGAAACATGTCAGCATCCCCTCTCTCTGCTGCCCACATTAGCGCTGTTTTCCCACGTATATCACCTTCAAAAGTACCTGTTTTCTTTAGGGATAATTGATGATCTGCAAGTTCGCGATTTCCTGTCTTAGCAGCAACAAGTACAACATCATTTCCATCATTATCCCGTATGTCTACATCAGCTCCAGCAGAGATCAGGTGTTGACAGATGTCTGTGTGTCGGCTATAGGCTGCCATCAACAGGGGTGTTCTGCTGTCACTGTTCACAGCATTGATGTTAACGACATGAAATGCCAAGATATCTTCCACCAAAGGCAGGTTTCCCCCATGAGACGCAAGATGTAACAGTGTGTTCTTATCTTTGTCCACAACTGATATATCTCCTCCTTTGTCTAAAAATGATTCAAATATTTGTTTGTGCCCCTTTTCAGCAGAATATGACAATGGCGTTTTTCCACAAATGTTTTCCTCGTTAACGTCATTTTCTGTCAGTGTGCGTATAATAAACACGTTGCCCCCTTGGCTTGCAAAATGGAGGATTCCACTTGACTGTTGATCTTTTATGGACAAGTCACAGTTTTTGCCAACAAGAAAGTCAAACATGCGATGATGCCCCGCGGTTGCTGCCAACATTACCGGTGTCCTTCCCTTGGCATCTCTGGTGTTGATGTCAACCTTTCCCTTTGATAACAGGAAGGCTGCAAGATCCATGTTGCCTGTATCTGCCGCTGTATGAAGCAGACTCATTCCACGCTCATCCACAAGTAACATACTCGATCCTTTTTTATCTAGACATGTGCTAAGTGGCGGTGCAACATTTATATTGTGTGTTATCTTGAACCTGTTGCCATGCTCCCGTGATTGGAGAAATTCTGTCAAATCTTTAGAGTTGTCTATGTGCCCGCAGACTAATGTCTCTGTCATACTGAAATGTTCAGGGGATATGTGACAGCTCTTCGAGAGAAGTAATTGAAATACATCTCTGTGACCTTTGAAAGCTGCTATCATCAAAGGAGTCTTTCCATACTGTCCAACAGTGTCTATATCAAACAATGAACTGGAAATGATATGCTTAACAATTACTAGGCAACCACCCTCACATGCCAAATGTAAAATAGTATTGCCGTAATCATCGACACCAGTCAGATCACACTTTTTGTCATTGGTCAGATAGTGGTACAAATGACTATTACCATGGTGAGCTACCATCATGACTGTCGTGCGTGAATCTTTGCCTTTTGTGTTCCATCCATCACCAAGATGTGGTAAAAGTACTTGAGCAAGCTCGGTATATCCATTCACACATGCCAAATGAAGAGCTGTGTCGTTAGCGTTGTTTCTCATCAGTGGATCGACACCAGCATCCATTAAGACCTTCACAATAGGCTTCACGTTCCCCATCACAGCTAGCATGAGAAGAGAGTTGCCATCTGAATCAGTGAAGCTCAGTTGATTGTTTCGATCAAGCATATTCTGCCATAGATACAGGAAAAACTTTGTGTGGTTCAGTCTTAGGAAAGAGGTGAGTGCTTCAGTGACATGAACTTGTGACAGTTCCTGTTTCTGTAATACTTTCTTACACAGGTAATCATTGCCTGACTGTAGGAGCCAGTACAAGAAACTATGTGTGGTAGCAGGATGCTGATTCGCTTCTCGTAAGTCCAACACCTCCTTAAGATCTTTCCCAAGTCCGATAAAGAACCTGTCTATGTTATCCTCCCTGGTAAGAACCGGATGGGAGAATGTATACCTGAATTTCCCTCTCCTAACACGGTCAATCAACTGTGCAAGGAGCTTGTCGTTGTTTGTTCTGGAGATAAAAATAGTCCTTGTATTTGAAGATTCCAGGTCATCACCTTCAAAAATGGCTATGCAGTGTTTCCACAGAAACCCAGGGAAGTTTGCATCAGCAAAATACACACACACATCGTATGTCAATGGATCATTGAAACATACTGTGTAGCCCTCTTGGTATAGGTAGGTCATATTTAGTTTGTGTATCATGTCAGGTAGGTCTTGTTTGACAACTTTAGGAAAGAGAGTGCCTATTGCCCTCAGTGCATTGGTGTCAACAGCTTCAAAATCATATTCATAGTCTTTAGTACAAATACAAGTAGCATTATGGCCAAGCTGATATAAACCAGGATCAGGATCAGGATCAGAATCATCATCATCATCATCATCATCAGGATCAGAATCTGATTCTTGATAATAGTGGGTAAGATTAACCTTGTTTCCAGATATCAGAACATACATTATTCCAGCAGAATAGTCTTGATTCGCAAATAGTTTTTCAACTTCCGTGATGAAGTATGAATGGGGGCTTGTAAAATATGAGACAGGATCAGCAATAGGTCTGGCCTTCCAAAACTGCTTCATCACCTTTGGGAAACCAACGTAGCATGGATCAAGCTGTGCAATAATCTCATCTCGTGTTTCTGATGGAATGTCTGTCTGAATTTGCATCATTCGAGAATATTCTTCTTTTGTTCTCTCCCAGTTCCTGTTACGTATTTCTGTAATGTTCACTGTGATTTCGTTTGCTTCAAACAGATACGGTACCCAGTGTCTTTCCTCTTTATCGCGTTCTTCTATAACAACTAGATGCACGTTCTTCCTGTTACGTGGGAATTTCCCACGGGTGTAGCGATCGATCTCATCCAGCACCACAAGTGTTGGTTTGGTCGCCTGAAGTACCTCCAGATTGAAGTCCTCCTTTCTGCTGTACGTGACAGTGTTGTAGCCTTCTTGTTGATAGTCATAACACAGTTTTTGTCCAATTGTGGTTTTACCTTCTCCGTGGCCACCAGTCAGTATAACAAGGCCGTTTTGTTGCAGTTTTGTCCGGACTTCGTGGTAGGCAGCCGTCTCCACAAATAAATCAGTCCACTCTGAAACAACGACCGATGTAGTTATATAACCTTGTCGTGTTTATTATTTAACAATTACAGTCAAACCCTGTTGTGTCTAACTTTTATATGTCGAACTTGCGATTGTAAAAGTAAAAGTTTGGTCCCTGCATATTCCATTTTTATTCATAATTTTTGGTTGTATTGAACCTTGGATAACTCGAAGTATTACGTATGTCACTTCAACTTTGACACAACGGTGTTTGGCAGTATTTCATTCAATGGAGATCGTTGTTAAAAGGTGACAAGTTCCTCATGCATATTGTTATAACTGACTACAGTGTGGAGGGAGTTAATGTGTCAGACAATGATTAGCTTAGTAAGACTTGGCTATTTATTGCCAGTCGGGATATAAATAGAATGATGACGATTGCTTCGTTTAAGAACATTCTTCCAACACATTCTAAGTGGTTCTTATTTTCTGAAAAGGTTGTGGCTTATTTTGAATCCTGTCATTTGACTATGATACTACTATGTTCTTATAACCAACTGTGTGGGTTTCACCGAAGTGGTTGATACTTGCATCACTACGGGGTATACACCAGGATATAACTGGAATACTTAACTGAATATAGTTAATTGACTATGACACTACTATGTTCTTATAACCAACTACGTGGGTGTCACCGAAATGGTTTATACTTGCATCACTACGGGGTATACACCAGGATATAACTGAAAATACTTAACTGAATATGCTCACCCACTATTACAAAATAAAGTACAGTACAAGAACTTTGGAAAGCAACAAATGAAAACTGCTAACCTCTCTGCCTCTCAGATAATTGCTGATTGAGCATCATTTCGAAAAACATCTCCCTGGTATGATCCAGTAGCACTGCATCGTATTGAAGAGAGTTGTAGAGGGTATACTTCTCAACATTTAACTGAAGGCATTTGAGAGTTTTATGAAACGTTTCACAGTACTTCCACTCGTCAGGTCTTATGACGCCATGAACAAGATGGAAGTTGGTGCCATGTTCCCTTCTTACTGTGCACGTGAGAGTCTGGGCAAGGGAGGAGTTGTAGTGCAAGGCGTCAGTAGTGTCACTTTCTACGAACGTGAGCACTTGAATCATGCGGTCTTTTGTAAACACATAAGCATCACAGATGACGCTGTCTGGAGCTGGCACCTCTTCCTCCGGCATCAGGGAAGTGAGCAGTGGAGAGTTCACGTAGATAAACTCTGTCGGGGGAATTGATTTGATCGCACCAAGAATGTCTTTCTTCAGGTACAGCTCTACATCTTTGGGATGAATGACACCTTCAACAAACAAAATTTCCAGAAGCTAGATACACGTTAAAAACGTTGCTAGGTAGAAGACAGTCAGTCCCCTGATGTACCATACTCATTAATATGGTGCATGTACTATCGCCTATGATACCCTTTTCACAAACATCACCATCGAATAACCATTTCCTCAAACAAACATGGGAGTATGCTTCCAGTTTAGTATACGTTGGTTTGAAGAATTGTGTGATGTAAAATAGTTTACACGCATGATGCACTCCATGCTAGATATTTATGTTATCTGTGTGCGCTATTATGATGACCTTTACATATCCTATCTCCTGCACATGCTTGCCGTAAGAGGCGACTAACGGGATCGGGTGGTCTGGCTCGATGGCTTGGTTTATGCATATTATCGTATCCCAATGGCGTGGATCGGTGCTCATGATATCAATCACTGGATTGTCTGGTCCAGACTCTATTATTTATAGACCGTCGTCATATAGCTAGGATATTGCTGCGTGTGGTGTTAAACAACAAGCAAAAAAACATGCTAGAAGGTACACAACTAATAGACTTACCCTTTTCAACATCACAGCGATAAAGATATGCCAAAAAGGAGAAGTCTGAAATAGAAAATACGTTATTGTTTTATCACATCATAAAGTTAAATGATCATAAAAAAAATTACCACCATCTTGACTTACTTGAGCCTCAAATAAAACAAGCATTGCAGTTAACCAACTTCAATTAGATGATTTACATGTGGAGAATATTTCCAGAGGTGACGCATCACCGACAAAATATATGACTGATGCAATTTCCTATTGTGAGTTTTACAATGTTTTCCCGTTGTTTTCCAGGTTCACAATTGACTTGCCTTTTCATGTATTTGTGACAGGTTCCACTGGTGGGATAGGATATGCCCACTTCTTCGAGAAAATCTTGTATCATTACTATTTGATAGTGATTGATTGATATTGCTCAAGATAGAGTTGGAATCGTACAATCGGTTCTGATTTTGGCAGAGATTTGTTGTGAATGCGGAAAGGGTTTTGTTGCTTATATTTACCTAAAACGTAATTTTGATCTAGAACTTGACGTTTCATGAGCACCTGCTTATGTTCCATTCAGTTTTGTTCCTGAGATATCAATAAGAAATATCTAAATAAAATGGCCATCACCCATAGGATGGCCAACAGTGGGCCCAAGAGAGGGCCCAACGCCTACCAAATAGATGACGGGTGAAAAATATATGATTTTATATAATAGCTTCATAGATAATAGGCTGGTTCAATTAAAGGTGGTTATTGAGATTTGAAACCTCTCATTGACAAATCAGAAGGTTTGTTTTCCAAATTTAGATGAAAATAGGATTTCACTTACAAATAGGACATATTTATTGATAATTGGCATGTTGGTATTACAATGATTTGTGCATACTCATTACAAACCGTCACTTGTGCCATAACTGAAAATTATTGTTTATCTTGTTGTGTCAGAACACATTTATTCATCAATTACCATTACAAGTTTTCTCGTAATTTTCGGGGTGAGGGAGAGGGTATTGTTCTTGGAGTTTTGATATTTTCCATCACAGCACCAAAAGATATTTTTTCTGTAATAAGGAGGAACCGGACACTTTCTCTTATTTTTTAATCACATTTTGTTCGGACATTCAGAAGAGTTTAACTTCATATGTATGTTGCAAAAGCTTTTTCCAGAACAGAATACCGCACGCATACAGGCACGCACACACGCACGCGCATACTGTATAATGATCAGCCCCTTACCACTGAACTCCAAGGGTCTTCTCGTCGGTGAATGCTTTCTTCTGTACTTGCTGTTAGAGCACTCGACAATATCGTCAGAGCTGTAGCTGCTAGATAGATCTGAGTCATCACTTTCAACAGCTGAATCCATGCTGATCAAAACTGTTCTTCACCTGAGGGTGAGCTTTAGTGGTTGAAATGTTCACTCGTCAGGTCGAGAGCTGAGTTCAATTTCTCAAAGATTTACAATGTGTGAAGCCCATACCTGTTGCCCCCTGAAATATTGCTTAATATGGCGTATACCGATACCCCCGCCTCCTTTTTTCAGCTGACTTTGTGTTAATTCCTTTCCATGGAGGCAGTTTTTGGATTCTCCTCAACCACTTTTGTCTGTCCATCCTGCGAATAATTCCATGGATTATTTCATAGGTACGAGGCCCTTCCCTATCACTGAACACTAAACCACTAAAATATCCAACAGCCACTTCTAGAATATATCTGGTAGGTGATACGGGAATATTGTATGTTTCAATCTTTATCAGATTAGGTGGGAGATCACCAAACTCCCCACTGCAGTGTAAGACGCACACATTTTTCTGGATCTTATCCAAAATCTCCTTCTTGAAGTTTTCAGGATTATCAATCTCAAAACCTATATTTTCGATAACCTTCTTCTTGTAACCATCCTCTGTTTCACATCGTTCGGCTAATCCAACATAATAAGACCCACCTCCATCAACTTTCGACAAGGACGTCAAGTTATCCTTCAACTTCAGACCATCCCAGATGTATTCCACTAAATCTGATTTGTCCCGTTTGTCTGGCAAAAACTTCACCTCAATATTCCGACACTCGTGATTGTACGTGTCAATACCTCTTAAAGTGGCTTCAACGGTCTTTCTATCTTGACTATATGCGAGTAAAGAGACAATATTCCAAGTAGATGCATTTAACTTTTCAAAATCATTACAAATCTTGGTGTTGAAGTTAACAGTGGAGATACAGCAGGTGTTTTCAACAGTAATTAGTAATACATCTGGAAACAGTTCGAATCCATTAAGAACATATAGCCATGTGCAAACATAACTATCAGTATATGACTTTCCACACTCAACCAAATCCTGCAGTGTTTTGTCAACAAATTCATGAAAGTACTCCAAATATCTGTCTCCCTCTTTGTGACCGTCCACGTGGACTAGAAGATGGCCCCCGTGTGTGTTCCTGAGAGCCGACACCTTCTTCTCGATATCCTGAAGGATCCTCTTCTTCCCCTTCTTCACCTCTTTATCCTTTCCTGATCCTGTGATGAGTTTTCTCTGTGCATGGACTAGGAACACATTCGGTTCGTTGTTTCGATGGACATACTCCTTTTCTACGTCTTTGCATACTTCACATGATTCTGCAACGAGAATTACATTGGAGGGTGTTTCAAAAGGGCCAAGCAATTTCTCCAGTGATACATGGAATGAGAATTTCACGTTAACTTCTATCTGGTACTGTGGGTACAGTAGACAAGAGAACCTGACATAGATTGGATTTGTCAATTAGAAAAGTTTAGTCAAGTGACTGTATATTTGACTATTCATTTGGTATGAGATCAAGGGTTTTGGAAAACCTGTTAATGTTTGCTAAATAGTTCAATGAAATAGCCATGACATACGTACAATATTTGGAAGATATTTTCAAAATTACAGACGCAATTGCTGACAAGTTAGGCATATCTTGGATAATGTCTAGAATACCTCGTATGGAACGGCTCTCACCTTCGTATGTTTGTGTTTTTGTTTGATTTTCCCCGGTTGCCATAGCAACTTAGCATCCATGTGTTCAGATCAGAATCTGAAAGTAATGAAAACATTCATCACAAGGATGACTCAACATAAATAATCTGTTGTGACGAAATTAATGCGGTACCAAATGCATGCGAGTGCCGGCTTCTAGCTGATCGTGCGCCCTGAGATTAGTGCGGATATCTATGCCTTTGAAATTGTAAATACACATCTACGTATACACATACATGAACACCATGATTGTAAAATGATCTTGACGTACAATGATATCCAGTGTGTCAAGATATATGGAGCATTAATTTCATGTTTTGAAAAGCTCTCTCAGTCAGCATATCTTAGTGTACGACAATTACTACGTAGGCACATAACAAAAGTCACACATGATTACATTATAGGTTATTGTTTAATTCAAGATTTTCGTCATTGTCTTTGGTCGAGTGGTGGTCACATGTCATTCGACTGAAACGCGTCAAGTCAGGTGTTACTGTATTGAAGTGAATTACTAACACTAGAATGAGAATTACCCGGAAGTGTTCCTGTATTGAAGTGAATTACTAACACTAGAATGAGAATTACCTGGAAGTGTTCCTGTATTGAAGTGATTTACTAACAATAGAATGAGAACTACCCGGAAGTGTTACTGTATTGAAATGAATTACTAACACTAGAATGAGAACTACCCGGAAGTGTTACTGTATTGAAGTGAATTACTAACACTAGAATGAGAATTACCCGGAAGTGTTCCTGTATTGAAGTGATTTACTAACAATAGAATGAGAATTACCCGGAAGTGTTACTGTATTGAAGTGAACTACTGACAATAGAATGAGAACTACCCGGAAGTGTTCCGGTATTGAAGTGAATTACTAACACTAGAATGAGAACTACCCTGAAGTGTTACTGTATTGAAGTGAATTACTGACAATAGAATGAGAACTACCCGGAAGTGTTACTGTATTGAAGTGAATTACTAACACTAGAATGAGAACTACCCTGAAGTGTTACTGTATTGAAGTGAATTGCTAACAATAGAATGAGAACTACCCGGAAGTGTTACTGTATTGAAGTGAATTACTAACACTAGAATGAGAATTACCCGGAAGTGTTCCTGTATTGAAGTGAATTACTAACACTAGAATGAGAATTACCCGGAAGTGTTCCTGTATTGAAGCGAATTACTAACACTAGAATGAGAATTACCCGGAAATGTTCCTGTATTGAAGTGATTTACTAACAATAGAATGAGAACTACCCGGAAGTGTTACTGTATTGAAGTGAATTACTAACACTAGAATGAGAACTACCCGGAAGTGTTACTGTATTGAAGTGAATTACTAACACTAGAATGAGAATTACCCGGAAGTGTTCCTGTATTGAAGTGATTTACTAACAATAGAATGAGAATTACCCGGAAGTGTTACTGTATTGAAGTGAATTACTGACAATAGAATGAGAACTACCCGGAAGTGTTACTGTATTGAAGTGAATGACTAACACTAGAATGAGAATGACCCGGAAGTGTTCCTGTATTGAAGTGAATTACTAACACAAGAATGAGAATTACCAGGAAGTGTTACTGTATTAATGTGATTTACTGACAATAGAATGAGAATTACCCGGATGTGTTCCGGTATTGAAGTGAATTACTAACACTAGAATGAGAACTACCCGGAAGTGTTCCTGTATTGAAGTGAATTACTGACAATAGAATGAGAATTACCCGGAAGTGTTACTGTATTGAAGTGATTTACTGACAATAGAATGAGAATTACCCGGAAGTGTTACTGTATTGAAGTGATTTACTAACAACAGAATGAGAACTACCCGGAAGTGTTACTGTATTGAAGTAAATTACTAACAACAGAATGAGAACTACCCGGAAGTGTTCCTGTATTGAAGTGATTTACTAACAATAGAATGAGAACTACCCGGAAGTGTTACTGTATTGAAGTGAATTACTAACACTAGAATGAGAACTACCCGGAAGTGTTCCTGTATTGAAATGAATTACTAACAATAGAATGAGAACTACCCGGAAGTGTCACTGTATTGAAGTGAATTACCATCAATAGAATGAGACCTATTCGGAAGTGTTACTGTATTGAAGTGAATTACTAACAATAGAATGAGAACTACCCGGGAGTGTTCCGGTATTGAAGTGAATTACTAACAACAGAATGAGAACTACCCGGAAGTGTTACTGTATTGAAGTGAATTAGTAATAATAGAATGAGAACTACCCGGAAGCGTTACTGTATTGAAGTGAATTACTGACAATAGAATGAGAACTACCCGGAAGTGTTACTGTATTGAAGTGAATTACCATCAATAGAATGAGACCTATTCGGAAGTGTTACTGTATTGAAGTGAATTACTAACAATAGAATGAGAATTATCCGGAATATAATAATAGGCTATTTTTATTGCGTATATTTCCACACCACTCAGGGCTCAAAGCGCTAGTATTACCGCGGTTACTGGATAACTGTGCACTCAAGAATCATTCTCAGCTCCCTTGGGAGTATACAACCTGTTAGGCGCTAGAAGGTTAACAACCACATTGCCATCTCATCCTACCTTTAAATATGAAGCATAAAATGGTGTAATAATGTACCATGTACATTGTGGCTACACATAAATATAAATTGTACAAGAGTGAATACTAGCAACACCTCGTCCACATATGACTAAAAAGTACTGTTTCTTCGATTTCAGATTTTAAATAAATGCAGTTAATATACAAAATAGATAAATATTCAAACAACTCAATTAGTACTAATTGGGCCTTGGCACAAATACAGCGTATCAAAGGTTTTTATGTCTATTTACACGTAGAGGTGTGTAAAAATATGAACAAAACAGACTATTGTGAAACTGAGCATAACCAGGTGTTAGTAGATCCAGGTGAATGTCCATGACCTATGACACCTTGACGACAGGTGAAAACAGGTGCTTGAAACCCACGTGCATGTGATTTGTTAGTGGTAAGTGATTTGTGAGTTGCATTGTGGGATAGTGAATCATCGTCAAAATATCAGAACGTAAAAGTAGCATATTCCCTTCTCAAACAACAACTTACATGTCATTATCATTATGTACATGAACACAGCTGTTATTTTTATTGTTGTTTTGATAAGGTTTTTTTCCAGGCTAATTTGCATTATGCCAATAGCCTGTTTCTGCCATTTCAATTTGGACTTAGTTTTATTTTTGAATGTTGAAAGTGCCTACAAATTACCAATACATTTTGTATAGAGCACTGAGATAAAACTAACAAATCCAGACTAGTACTTTTCCATTTGTTTTGTTATTTCGTATTTACATCTACGTAATGCTTTGTGTCGATTGTGAAATCCAGTCAAACATTTTTTTTCATTTCCAGGAGTACTTTTAGATATCACCAGAGTGCATATCAGCAACACTGACAACCCATGACTACAGGAAACAATAGTTCTCGTGTCCACCGCCGTAAAAGCGGCGTAAAACCATACTCACCTACTCACTCATACCATCAACACTGTGACAACACATGGCGTGGAAATGTAGTGAATACCCACTCACCTCTGGTTGAAATGTTTTTTACATAGAAAAAGTCAACGCCTGAGACACACCCCCCCCCCCCCCCCCACCCCCCCCCCACCCCCCACCCCCACCCCCCACCCCCACCCCCACCCCCCAAAAGTAGCACCCGACACTCGCACTTTTTGAATGAAACAGGAAGTGTTTGTTTGTAGCCTAACGCCACACATCAGTACGTCTGTGGCATGTCAACAAACCAGACAAACAAGGGCCAGATAAACCACCGACACGCATTTACTGATTTTGTTGAAACTGAAAACCCTTAACCTTTCCCTAACCCTAACCCTAACCCTAACCCTACCGATTTTGTTAAAACTGAAAACCCTAACCCTAACCCTACTGATTTTGTTAAAACTGAAAACCCTAACCCTAACCCTGCCTGTGGTGTACAAGTACAGGGGTTCTGTTTCTCATTTGTAAAGAAAATCAGCACAGGTAAACACCGCAGTCAATAATAACCCGGCTGTCACACGACGGCGTGATTATACAATGTATAACAAAGGCCCCATGCACCAGTAGCTGATATGATCCAAGTCACGATGACACACACTAAACCAGGTCAGGTTTGCTATCTACTGACAGCCGTGTGTTGGCATGCAATGAAAGCGTCTGGTACTTGAAGCCGAGTCAGCCCTGGATAGGAAAGCATATCAACACACTGGTACTATGATGTGTGGAACATAGTGGAACATAGTGACCCCAACCCTTACCCTAACCCCAACCCCAACCCCTTACCACAACCACAACCCCAACCCCAACCCCAACCCCAACCCCAACCCCAAGCCCAACCCTTACCCCAACACCAACCCCAACACCAACACCAACACCAACCCCAACCCCACCCCTAACCCCAACCCTAACCCCAACCCTTTACCCAACCAAACCCCAACCCCAACCCCAACGTAACTTCACTCACTGCAGGAACTTATGAAACAGTGTGTGGCTACAATGCTGGAGTGAACAACCACGTTTATCTGATAGTCAGAAGAGGTTTGAAGACATGTTAGTGCAGTGAAACCCCCGCACAGCGAGAAACACTAAGGTAAAAGCTTATTGATCCATATACCTTACATCGATGCATGGAGCGTTGCGAAACTGCCCTATTGTTGAGGCCAGTCCCAGCCCGCTGACTTCGACAAATATCGTTTGACATTTGCAATACCGATCTGACAAGGGAACTTCAGGTGTGATACACAACCGTAAGAGGTCTACCTACACCTCTAACAGACTGGGTAAGATGAAGAAACTAATAAATCAGAAATATCTACCTGTGTCTACAAGCTGCAGATTTAATATCCCGGTCCCATGTTGTGTTGTCTCTACACACAGGCTAGGCACCAGTTGGTCACGTGGGTTAGTGACGTGGCTGAACATAAAATACAAGGCTGGTGTATCATGTCTACTGTACGGTGTTAGAGGTGTGAGTGACGCAACATGCCTTCACTATAAGCACAGGGCTGGTGTATCAGGTCTACTGTGCAATGTTAGAGGTGTGAATGACGCTTTCTGCTTCCACTATTAGCACAGGGCTGGTGTACCATGTCTACTGTGCAGTGTTAGAAGTGTGAATGGCGCTTTCTGCTTCCACTATTAGCACAGGACTGGTGTATCATGTCTACTGTGCAGTGTTAGAAGTGTGAATGACGCTTTCTGCTTCCACTATAAGCACAGGACTGGTGTATCATGTCTACTGTACAGTGTTGGAAGTGTTAATGACGCACCATGCCTTCACTAAAAACACAGGGCTGGTGTATCATGTCTTCTGTACGGAATTAGAATAATGAGTTTTAATTGAGTGTAAAATATTGATAATGCTTATGTTATTGATTATGAAATACTTATTCCACTTGAACAACTTTGCGTTTGCAGTACACAGGGTGCGTTTAAAAGAAGCAGGAGTAGAACGCACCTGTATATTTTCACCCCGTATTAATTTCGTGTAACATATTAGAGACACGCACCTTTTTTACTTCTTATCTGAGTCACGCGCTCTTTTCTATTTAAGGACTGACTGTGTATTATTTTTCGGTTTATTGAGGTATGAATTAAAAACGATGTGCAAACTGTATGAATCCGCGAAACTGTATGAATGAACCGAAAACAAATACACAGTCAGTGCTTATAATTAAATTCGACAGCTTAAAACATGTTTTATCTACAAAAGTTTAACCAAAAACAGTTGTATATATCAAAACAGATTGAAAAACATAATGGGGCGAACCGGGATTCAAACCCACAATCGTATAGGTTTCTGGCGTGCCCAAAGGGACGCAACTCTGCACAGCGAATCGTGGCGCCTTAGACGACTGGGCCACCCGTGCCCCCACTGAAGAAGGAGGAGCTGGACACTGGTGATTCGCAGTGCAGAGTTGCGTCCCTTGTGCACGCCAGAAACCTATGATTGTGGGTTCGAATCCCGGTTCGCCCCGATTATGTTTCTAGGTTTGTCAGAACCATACCCGTGCTCGTGGGTTTCACCGAAGTGGTAAACGTCTGAGACCTGAATCACTTCGGGTTTCCCTCCCACATTAAGCTGACACGTCGCGATTTAACTCTATTACTGTTAAAAGCGGCGTTAAACCCAACTCACTCACTCACTCACTACAGGGACCTGTGGACATGTTTGTAATCTATTGCTGGTTTTCTCATTTTCTTTGTTTTCCATGTCTTCTTGTGTATTTGAGGTATCTGTTGTCTGTGAGAATCTATTCACGCCGTTATAGATATTTTGGCCAGGTTAGGTGCCCACCAATTCAATTCTAGAGGAAACTATATTTTGTGGTGCACTTCAACGTCTGTGTAAGAGACAATTGACAACTGTCTTGGTGGTTTCTCTATGTCCATATTGCCTTTGAAAATTGAAGATAACAGGCTTCTTTAACGTATAAGTAGCCACACACACACACACAGACACACACACACAGACACACACACAGACACACACGCACGCACGCGCACGCACGCACGCACACACACACAGACACACACACAGACACACACACACGCACGCACGCACGCACGCACACACACACATACACACACACACACACACACACACACACGTACACAAACGCTATCTTAATTGCTGAAACTGGTGCATTTTATATAGTTTGGTGCGTCGGGTTATATGCAAGGACCTTGCCATTCTTCAATCACTGTCCACACGCTTATGAAGCGATATTTGCATTTGGTGGCGTAGAAAATGCTCCTAGATCTTGTCGTGTGAGGAAACTGACCGCGGGATATGTCCACGTTTGCTGTCAATGAAAGCTAACAGGCCCTCACATTTGCAGGACAAAACTGCAATTAAATGAAAACAGAGTCCAAACTGAATCTAAGAGAACTGTCATAGCTTTCTTGTAACTTAAAGTAAATTCAATGTAGTGAACGCACTAACTGACCGCAGCATGCAAAATACAGTAAACTACGGTTATTACGAACGCGCTTATAACGAACTGACGGATAAGACGAACTTACTTTTTTGGTCCCGACTATTAGCTGTAGTTATGCTGTATATCTGCTTATAACGAACTACGGTTATAACGAACTAAAATGAGTAGTCCCTTTGAGTTCGTTATAAGAGTACTTTACTGTATGTATGTTTCACATATGCGGCCAAACATACGGTCACTGTAGCTGCGAGACAGTGGCCCATTATGCTAGTCTGCCCAGCTAAGCTGACACAAAGGGTCACCCTCTCGGGGAAACCGGTGATAAGTGTGTTATCTTCACGTAGCAGGGCCGGCACACATTGTCAGCCCGACTTGGAGATAAGGGTCAGTTAGGCAAAACGACAACCTACTTGAATATAATCTTAAACAATGACACAACCGTCAGTGGTTACATCCGATCTTGTAAGCGGCGCTCTGTTCAATATACAGTATGCTACGGTTATAACGAACTCAAAGGGACTACTAATTTTGGTTCGTTATAACCGTAATTCGTTATAAGCATATATACAGCATAACTACGGCATATAGTCGGGACTAAAAAGTTAGTTCGTTATATCCGTTAGTTCGTTATAAGCGTGTTCGTTATAACCGTAGTTTACTGTATTTTCTATTAGGAATTTGGTGTACTGAGAAAGCTATGACAATACTATCTGAAATATAAACATCGTGTCATAAAATGGGTAACGTCCATTGAGAACATATCCTAAAACGTGTTTTGTGTCCGTAGAATAAATGTCAGAGTAGATTCAGTAAAAAACCACTCTCCTCCACGCTTATAACGAACTGACGGACATTACGAACTTAATTTTTGGTCCCGGCCATTTGCCGTATAGATGTTGTATATATGCTTATAACGAACTGCGGTTATAACGAACTAAAACTAGTGGTCCATTTGAGTTCGTTATAACCGTAGTTTACTGTAGTCAACTTTCCCTTCATGTCGAGCACTATTCCTTCAGCCTTTTGAGGTACAATCAAGCTTGCTCTTTCTACCAAGATTTCAAAGAGCGTCATCCGACTCTGGCTAAGAAGCTGTTTGATCAGGTTACATTTTTCAAGGCCTCAGTAAAGCTTTCAAAAAGTCTAATAGTAGACATGTGAAGGACTATTCAAAATTTGACGCATCGGTGACATGTATCAGCCAAGTCAGCGACCCTGACCACCCGATCCCGTTAGTCACCTCTTACGACAAGCATAGTCGCCTTTTACGGCAAGCATTGGTTGTTGAAGGCCTATTCTATCCCGAATCATCACGGGTCCCGCAGTTGGTAGGACGACTGCACCAGCTAAACCTGGTTCGACTGAAGTGTTTGGTATTGTGCCAGCACGAGGAAATAGATCCTCTAGCAGTACTTCCTGTGTGTACAAGTGGCTTTACAACAGCAAACATAGCGGATACCTTTACAGCATGCTGCGTTTGATACCAAGTACGCAGTAATCACAATATCGTCGCATAGAGGATTGTATCACTATTCACGAAACGTGAAATATATCAGGACGATTTCTATTTTTAAGCCTGTATACGCTAGTTACTCCAATATGTCCCATGTTGTTGAAGTGACCCATTATTACCCATCCCCGATGCCCAGGTCTGTATGTCCATGTGGTGGTGGAATGGGGTTTAACGTCGCGTCCAAGATTATTGCACTTATATAGCGACGTGCATGTACGAGTGTGTGTTTGCTTGTACTAGTACGGACTGATGCCGATTTATAGTGCCTGCCCACTGAGATACCATGCCGCAGTTTAAAATGAATACCCCACTCAGACACAGTATACTGACTCCGAGACGACCAGTCCTTGTTTTGGCCCCTTAATGCCGAGCACCAGACAGGGTAACGACAAGTACCATCTTTTAACGTATTTTGGTATGACGCGGCCGGGGATCGAACCCCGGACCTTCCGCTTTCCGGGCGGACGCTCTACCACTAGACCACAGAGGCGGTCCTATATGTCGATGTAGTCCCACATATACCCTTGATCCACACCAGGGTTCATATCTTCCACATGTACCCCTTGATCCACACATCCTCGATCAGTGTCACTTAAGCTTGATGACGGTTTAAGAATTTATATCAAATGTCGCTATATGCAATAAACCAGAAGTTGTTATCCATAAAGTTGCACGTTGTACTTGGCGGTATCAACCTTGTCTGGACGTGTTATGTCACTGATTACTGTCCACATCTTGTGTGAATGTAATCCATTTCAAAATGAACATATTTAATATATAATGCAAGAAATATTTCAGGGCACAGTTGTGAGAGATGCAGAGAGCTGAAACTGATGGAGGGATATATTTTAAGATACACTGAAGTGTTGTGTTGCAGTCTATGCCTTAGAAAAATGCTACATATGTATCACGGATAACTCATGAGACCCCCCTTCGACGCCAGTACACTGCTGCTGTCAGTTGCAGTCGCCCCATGTTGGAGGTAGAGAGAAAAAAAAACTTTATTTGTGCTGTAAGGAGTATGGGAGTGCAGCACCACACTCACACAACTGTAATACGAGACAAAAAGTTGCCCCAGTACTCTGCTGCTGTCATTTTTAGTCGCCCCATGTTGGAGGTAGAGAGAAAAAAAACCCTTTATTTGTGCTGTAAGGCGTATGGGAGTGCAGCGCCACACTCACACAACTGTAATACGAGACAAAATGCCGCCCCAGTACTCTGCTGCTGTCAGTTGCAGTCGCCCCATGTTGGAGGTAGAGAGAAAAACAAACTATATTTGTGCTGTAAGGAGTATGGGAGTGCAGCACCACACTCACACAACTGTAATACGAGACGAAAAAGCCGCCCCAGTACTCTGCTGCTGTCACTTTCAGTCGCCCCATGTTGGAGGTAGAGAGAAAAACAAACTATATTTGTGCTGTAAGGAGTATGGGAGTGCAGCACCACACTCACACAACTGTAATACGAGACAAAAAGCCGCCCCAGTACTCTGCTGCTGTC